GAGAGAGAGAGAGAGAGAGAGAAATGGGATAACAAAGGCAAGAGTCTCATAAAGAGGTCTTCTTAATTTAGGAATGGGCATAAAGGATGTACAAGTTGAAGGTATGCAAAGGCCTTCCTGGCCATGGCTTCCACTCCTTCTCAAGCAGGAGCTGAGAGTTCAGGAAGACCCCAGAATGCTCCCCAGTCCTGAGTAAAGATAGGAGGTCCCCAAAACTTGGTCATCCCCAGAACTGGAAGAATCAAGCACCCACAGGCACTTAGTCTTGCTCAGGTTGAACTTGACCCTGTTCTTCCCCATCCAGGCAATTGAGATAAGACCATGCCTGCATCACTTGGACAATCAGAAGTCAAGATGTACTACTGAGTATATAGATCTTTGGGCAGATATTATCATCAATGTGCTGGTGATACTCAAATCCAAACAGATGGCTAATCTGTCTTGTTGATCTCATTTAGTTGTTGAAGAAAGAGGCTCGGAGCATCACACCTTGAGGCAGCCTGAAAATTGTCCCCAAATGAGCAAATCTAGTACATTCAAACTCATTTGTTATTCAAAACTCATTCTTTGTTGCTTGTCAACAGGAGATAAGGCTATATTCCGAGCCAAGGTGACAGGTAACCCCAAGCCCAATGTTACATGGAAAAGAGAAAGTGGGTTGCCACTCAAAGAGGGATCAAAGGTATTTTTCGACAGCATCAATAAAGAGTACGTCCTCAAGGTAAAAATGTGCAGCTTTTTTAAAGTAGCTTCTCTCTTTTGCTTCCTTCTCTGCCTTGCAAAATAACATTTATTTTTTTAATTTTCAAGGGTGTTTCTATCATCTTATTAAAACTTTCTTTAAATTCTCCTTTGTTGAAGTGAAATACATCTACTCTCCAAGTACTATAGACTATGCCCCATTTGACCTCCAGAGCATTAAGGGTACTTTCATTTTGATCTGTGGTTCTTGTTTTTTTTCTATTGCAGTTAGAAAACCTCACAGGTGGTGACGCTGATCTTTATAAGTGTATCGTTTCCAACAGGCATGCTGACATTATCTATACAGTATCCCTGGTTATAGCTGAAGGTAAACAAGAAGCATAAATTCAAAGCTGGAAAGAAAAATAGCATCCCATTTTCAAAATAGAACAATCCCTGTAGCTTTTCCTCGAATAAAAGAACTGGATGCTCTGGGGCAATGTGTAATAAGGACCACAGATCTCTAGCCCACAATTATGCAACAACTCCTCTTTCTACAATTAAACCAATTCTTGATATGTTGGAATTGATACTCCCTTTAGTTTGGCTGAACATTTTGGAAGTAGTAATCTCAATGTATCTGGGAGGCGTTGGGTAATGAAAGACTGCCATGAGAGATCCAAAGCATCTACATCTTGCTTCCTTTACACCAGAGTTTCTTGGCAACTTTAAGATGTTGTAGACTTTGACTCCCAGAATTCCCCAGCTAGATGATTCACTCAGTTTGCTGGCTGGGGAATTCTGGGAGTTGAGGTCCACATACAATAAAGATGGTAAGATTGAGAAACCCTGCCTTATAATTTTGGCTGCTTGGACTAATCCTCTTCTCTTTTTTTTCATTGTTTTTTTTTTTAAGGTCAAGAAAAGATGGATTTCAAAAAAATGCTGAAAAAAAGGTGAGATGCTTTCCATCTTTTACACTTTGCCAAAAAAACACACCAAAAAACAGTCATACCTGACAAGATCACAGAAACTCTTCAGTCCCAATGGGTGGGTGGGTGGGAAACATGTCTATAAGACTTTACAAAAAGCCGATAAGGTTGGGGCCATCTGCCTCTCTTTCTCTTTCCTATATTCAGCTACTTACTAAACCTGAACATCCAGATTTGTAGCATCCAACATATTCCCTTGCCTCTCCTGGAAAACTCCTGTCAGTTTTCAACAGTTTTCCCATTTCCCCGGGTGTAATGGGATTGAGAGTAACCTTGGGAGAATCATAGCCTTGACAACAGTCAGAAAAGAGATATCTCGGCCCACAGAAGGAATGGGAATAAAGAAAACATATCAGAAGGGACTTTCCCTAGTTCTCTTGGAGAGTAACGACATCAATCCCCTAGATACTACAATCCCCTGGGTCCAGAGGTGGTGTTCAGCCAATTCAGACTGGTTCTGGTGTACCGGTAGCAGAGATTTTGAGTAGCTCAGAGAACCGGCAAATACTACCTCTGGCTGGCTCCGCCCACTTGCCCCACCTTATCCTGTCCTACATTCCGTTGTTTTTTTACCTCAGCTGATTTGCACGGCAGAGCGGATTGCCGTGCCTCAACTGAGCTAAAAAACAGCTCACCTCACCAGCGCTGACAGAAGGCGGTTGCACGAAGCACGCTCTCATAGAACCAGTGGGGGAAAAATTTGGAATCCCACTGCTGCCCGGTTCTCAAAGAGAATGGGCGAAGTTGGGCTGTTCCCCAAAAGCTAATTATGTATTGAGCCTCCTTTCATCCTAAATAGTAAAACATATATAAAATAAAGAGGTAACTAAGGGAAAGAAAGCCAGTTTGGTGTACTGGTTAAGGCTACAGGCTAGAAATCAGCTGGGCCAGTCACTCGCTCTCAGCTCCAGGAAGCAAGCAAGAGAAAATCATTTCCAAAATCTTTTCAAGAAAACAGCAGGACTACCTAACAAACAAACAAACAAACAAACACCTGAACTCTGGTAAAAATGTAAGCAAAGGTAATCAACTCAACTTAGATTGCTTGGGCAATCTAGGTATTCCTTGACTTACAACAGTTCTCGGGAGTAAGGCTGGAAGATGATGGCCCCTCCCATAAGGGATAAAAGCCAGCCTTTGGGGCTGGCTTCTTTACAGGAAGCCAAGGAGTTCTTTCTATTCAGAGTCTTCATTGAAGCCCTGCTTACTCCAGTTTGTTTTTTGCAACTTCTGGCTTTGGATAGTTATCTGCAATTAGTCTTTTGTCCTTGGCAGCCTTTCGCAACCTTGAAAGGGCTTGCTCTTATCTGGGACAATTCATTTTGAATGACTTTTGGTTGTGAATGAACAGAATTCACAGCGCTGCATTAAAAAGGTTTGCTTTTGTGTTTGTTTGATTTGAACAAGGCTTGGGTCAGAACAGTTACTAACTTAACAACTGCATTGATTCACTTATCCACTGTGGCAAGAAATGTTGTAAAATGAGGGGAAAGTCACTTAGTAAATGTCTCACAGCAACAGAAACTTTGGACTCAATTGTGGCTGTAAGTCGAGGACCACCTGTAACTAAGCCTTGAAAATGCTATCGGGACCCCATTGAATTTCTTCAGGACAGTTTCCAAAGTCAGAGTAGCAGTGCAGGAAAGGCTTTTTTGCCCAAATTAATCTGGTGGGATTCATTCCTATTACTGTCTCACCCGAAATGGTATTCAGCTGGTTCTGACCAGTTCTGGAGAACCAGTAGCGGAAATTTTGAGTAGTTTGGAGAACTGGCAAATACCACCTCTGACTGGCCCCGCCCAGATCTATTCTCTGCCTCCTGAGTCCCAGCTGATCGGCTGGGTCTTCTTTTGTTGCCCTGCACAGGAGAACAGAGCTGGAAAGCAGGTTAGTGGGAAGCGGAGGGAATGGGATTTTGCAGTAACCTTCCCCCAGGAGTGGAGTGGGAATGGAGATTTTACAGTATCCTTCCGCTGCCACGCCCACCAAGCCACGTCCATCAAGCCACACCATGCCCACCAAGCCATGCCCACAGAACCGGTAGTAAAAATTTTTGAGTCCCACCACCAGATGGAACCCATCTATCTGGTTCTGAATACAGTCAGGGAAAAGGAAACTGACTGGAATTGTGTAAAACGGCAGGAAGAATCTCTTTGCAGTGGAAAATGACTTCTAATGTCATCTATAGTCCTGAGATCTTAGTAATCTCCCATTCAGCTACTAACCCATCCTATCATGTTTTGTTTTTTGAGTCCAGCCAAGTGCTAACACATACCGTGTTTCTCACAAAATAAGGCCGGGCCTTATTTTTTTTGACCCCCCCAAAAATGGCTAGGCCGTCTTTTTGGGGGTGACTTAATTCCCCCCCCTTGCATCCTCGGGTGGGCGGGCAGCGACAGCTTGGATGTTGACCTTGGCGTTGGTGGGGCACTTCATATCGGGAGACCTTCCGCCACTGTTGCTTTCCCTTCTCCCTTGCTGCCGTGGCATTTAGAGCAACGCCGTGGCGTTTGGCACAGCCACGTGTGGCCAGCCAGGGCTCCTCCCTGCAACCAGAGCCTGGTGGAGACACTCAGCTTCAGGCGCTCCTGTCGCCGCCTTCCCTTTGCCTTCGAAGGTAAAGCCAATTATTTAAAAACGACGCCCTACTACAACAAAGACTCCCCTGCCCAAGAGGGCAGCCCAACCCCATGTGGGGAGGTGAATCTCCCAGGGCTACAGCGCAGGATCGGCCCACCTCAGGAGAAGTGCCCAGCCGCCATCCCTGCCTGGCACCGGGCAGAGTGCGAAGAGCTTCGCCTGGGGCTCCCAGCGCAGCTGACAGGCGGGCCCTCCTTCCTGGCAGCAGAGCTCTCACCAAGGCAAGGAGCGCCTCCCCGCCAGACCCTCCGCTCATCCCACCAGGGCCGCACCAGAGCCGTGCGGGCTGGGCATAGCCAGGAAAGTGAGCTGCGAGTGCACACCCGTGTGCCAAGCAAAAGAGCCGGGCCCACCTGAGCTTGGCTTCCTTCCCAAGTCCCTCCAGCATGAACCCAAAGGGGCCACCGGGAGAGGGAGGGGCCAAAGGGGCCTCCGCGGACAGGGAGGTGAGGTGATGGCAGCGCTGCTTCCCTGGCCAACGGAGACAGCCCGAAGCCGCCCGTCCTTTCCACGCCTCACCCAGCCCGTCCCCGTTCCCACGCATCTCCAAATGCACCGGCAGCTCCAAACGCTGCAGCGGAATGGGCATCAGGCAGAGGCGCTGACTCGGCGGGGCTCAGCTCAGAGGAGGACGCGGCGCAGGCCGTCGCCTTGTCTCCCTGTCCATGGATGGGTGGGTGCTATCACTGCCTTGGGCGGCCTCTCCCAGTGGCCCCTTCGGGTTCGGGCTGGAGGGAAGGAAGCCAAGCTTGGGTCGGCCCGGCTCTTTTGCTTGGCAGGTGGGCGCGCACCCACGGCTTGCTTTCCTGGCTCTGCCCAGCCCACACAGCTCTGGCACGGCCCTGACAGATTGAGCAGAGGGTCCAGCGGGGAGGCGCTCACTGCCTTGGCGAGAGCTCCACTGCCGGGCAGGAGGGCTTGCCTGTTAGCTGCGCTGGGCGCCCCAGGCGAAGCTCTTTGCACTCTGCCCGGCACCAGGCAGAGATGGCAACTGGGTGCTTCTCCTGGGGTGGGCCGATCCTGCACTGTGGCCCTGGGAGATTCGCCTCCCCACGTGGGGTTGGGCTGCCCTCTCGGGCAGGGGAGGCTTTGTCGTACCGGTAGTAGGGTGTCGTTTTTAAAAGAATTGGCTTTGCCCTTGAAGGCGAAGGGAAGGCGGCGACAGTAGCACCTGAAGCCAAGTGTCTCCGCCGGGCTCCGGTTGCAGGGAGGAGCCCTGGCTGGCTGTGCATGGCTGCGCCAAACGCCGCGACGTTGCTCTAAACGCCGCAGCAGCAAGAGCGAAGGGAAAGCAACAGTGGAGGAAGGTCTCCTGATACAAAGTGCCCCACCAATGCCAAAGTCAACGCAGGCAGCACCCTATCCGGGTATGCAACAAAAGTTCTTCCTAACGGCAAGCCCCCCCCGCCATCCCCCCCATTTCGCATGTTTAATATAGGCCTTAATTTGGGGAGACGGGCTTAATTTGATTTTATGCCGATAAAACATGCTGGGCCTTCCTATTGGTGGAGGCCGTATTGTTGGAGAAACACAGTAGCTGGGTAATACATAAGAGCTTTTCACCTAACTTCATAACCAGGTTGCTTCAAGAGGCTTTTTCATGATATTTCATGAAATATAGAGAATAATATTGCAACTGAGTTGCTGTTTGGGATCAAAATACCCGATGAAATTGTTAATGGCTTTCCATTCTCTCCTCCTATAGTTAAAGATGGAATTGTAACTCTGACTGGGAGTTAAGGGAGAAGGGGTTCCACATAAGAATTTCTGTGGTTTTATAACAAGCTCATAAATGTTGGAATTGTCATCAGACACCTGGCTCATATTACCATATGTGGTGGACTTGTGCGGATGCTAAAAAATACTGGACTAAAATCCACATGTGGTTGGAAAAAATGACAAAAAAACATGTAGACTTGAAACCAGAGATATTTTTATTGGGAATTTTACCTGAAATATATAGTAAAGACTTGAAATACCTGACTGTAAATGTATTAACAGCGGCTAGGATTGTATTTGCTAAAAACTGGAAAAATGAGAAAATACCATCACAGGAGGAAATCATTAAGAAAATATTGGAATGTGCTGAAATGAGTAGATTGACATTTGAAATTGGAGAACAAGAGGATAAACAATTTTATAAGACTTGGGATCTTTTCTATCAATGGTTAGATAATAAAATACAGTAATGAAATATGTAGACTTTTAGAAAATAATAAATATATAAAGATGTACTTCTTTCTTATTATGTCTACAAAATGATTTTAGGATAGATTTGGGATGATAATATGAACTGTTATAAAATAAACTAAGTAAATTATGATTATCTTGTAAAACCTGAATGAATAAAAGTATAGTCAAATGATTGATTAATAATGATACTAAGGTATTTAATTTTTGATTGAAAATATGAGATTATATGCAATGTAATTGTAATTGAAGACTACGAAATGGAAGCACAAAACAATTTGTAAACCAACCGGCACACTGTATGTACACATATGGAAGATAGCTTGTTGTTTTTATGTTTTGTTTGTTTATGTTTGTTTTTAAAAACCAATAATTTTTTTTTTTAAAAAAACAAGCTCATAAATGGATTTTGTCTGTCTGTATGTAGGGGGCTTCCTACTCCAAAGAAGGAGAAAAAGGTGACTGATGAAAAGGAAATGCTGGAGATCCTCTCTCATGTGCCTAAGAAAGACTTTGAGAAGGTCTGCATGGAGTATGGTTTCACCGATTTTCGAGGACTTCTAAAAAAGCTGAAGCAGATGAAGAAAAAAGAAGTTGAGGTCAGTGATGGATTCACCCAGACCTTGGATTCTTGAGTTGTCTTACATGTGCATTATAATTTAAATATAAGGCAACAATTTTCCTTGAAAATAATATATATGCTGTCTGTCTGCTATGGGAAAATGATTTTTTTTTTGACCCTAGAATCCCTTCATCGAAGTGGAATCAGGGCAACTGAATGGAGCTGAGCATTTACTGGCTGGATGCCCTTCTCGATGCCCAGGGCAAATGGCAAACTGCTCTTAGTATAGTTCTGCTGGATAAAAAGTATACGTCCAGCCAAGCAATTGGTGGACACACATTCATCTTATCTGAACTAAATTTATTTAAAAATACATAGGAAAGGAAAGCCTGGGTTCCTCCCGCACAAACTTCCTCTTGAAGAGAAAGTCAAGAAACAATGAAAGGAATTTCTGTTTTATTCAGGAATTGTAGGAATAGTTAAAAAAAAAAAGTCAAGAGAGGTGCTGTGACAATGTAATCTTAGCCCTTTTTTAATTTGCAGTTTGAGAAAAAAAAAAAACTTCAATGACACAGTTGTAGCCTCCATATTGACTGTTTAAAACCACTCCCTGTAGACATCCCTGATTTTATCTCTTAAACACAGGGGTGGGATTCTACCCATTTGGACCAGTTCGGGTGAACCCCTTGCTCCGAAGATCAGCCGGCAGAGAATTGGTTCGCTGTGATGAGCATGTGGGCCGGCCCCCCACCCGCCCCTGGTCTTTCCTCTGCTTTATTTCAGTTTTTTAGAGCACAGCTGATTCACGCGGCAGAGGGGTTTGCCGTGCCTCAGCTGTTTTATTCACAGGGACTGCAATAGAAGGTACATATCAGAGCTTTTTAAAACGTGGAGCTCGTGTTTGGCACATGCGATCATCGAACCGGTTGTTGTACCGGTGGAATATCACCCCTGCTTAAATGTAGAGAATTGTTTAAGTAACAGCAGGTTAGGTTGAAAGATCCTTCTCCAACACTCAGCATTTGCCCCAGGGGTCAAAGCTTTATTTTTGACAAAGACTAGCGTTATATAACAAAAATAAAAACCCACCAACAGAGACGCAAGTAAAATAGTGATTCTACAATTAAGCTATCGCTTGTATCCATACGATTTATACTGATTGTTTCCTAGTATGATTTGATTGCTTATTGTACCCTACGACTATGATTAAGTGTTGTACCTTATGATTCTTGACTCTTGACGAATGTATCTTTTCTTATATGTACACTGAGAGCATTTGCACCAAGACAAATTCCTTGTGTGTCCAATCACACTTGGCCAATAAGGAATTCTATTGTATTCTATCACATTAATCTAGTGGGTGTTATAAAGGCAATGGATTAGTAGAACTTGACACTCCAAAACCAGTCTAAAGACTGCTTTGTTGCGCCACAAATAGTGTAACAGTACAAAAGAGATGTATAAAACGTCTACCAGGACATATTTGTTGGCTTGAAGATGCCGAAAGATTATTAGCTACTGATTCTCTCTTATATATTCAACAAAATATAAACATACTAAGTTCAGCTGTCCCTGTTTTGGTCAGAGGCTTAACAATGCAGCATCATTACAAGTAATAGATTAAAAGAAAAATATTGGATTACAGGCTCAAGAGATTTATGGTCAAATTCATGAGCATTACACAAGTTGCAATAAGTAAATGTAACAATAAATAAGGCTAAAAATAAATATTTAAAAAGTATCTAAAGACTGCTCTTTTTTTATATTTCAGGCGATAAAGATTCTAAAACCTTTGGAAGATGTTTCTGCTAAAGCGGACTCTACAGCAATATTTGATTGTATTCTGGAACTCAGGGATGCCAATATGAAGATGATGTGGTTAAAAGTAACTGTATTTTTATTTATTGTAACTGAAATGAAAGTGGGTAGGTGAGAGAGAGCAAAGGGCTCTGTATGTTTTGTCTACAGCAAGATGAGCAATCTCTTCCATTCTGGGAACTGATCTGGTGCTTTGATTGAGGGTTAGAAGTTGCATCTATGTTGATAAGCAGCATAATATTCCAGCCATCATTCATACACGTGCATAAGCACACAATTGTGCCTACTGTCCCTGTCCTATTGTCCCCAATTATTAGTTCCTATTTCTTGTATTTAAACTTATGCTTATTCTTGTTTGTGTTATATTGTAAGCTTTTGACATAAATAAATAGATAATAAAATAAATAGTTACTGCAGGTCAGAAAGATTTATCCCATTGTATCTCAGCATTTCTTTCCAGGTTTCTGTGAGTCTGTTGGGAAGACCAGTGGACAACAGTCAGCTTAAGCAAATTTGCTAAGATGGAAAAACAAAACCTCATTTTTGAGGATAAGAGATAAAGCTTTCTGGCCTAGCAACAATGCTATCAATCACTGCTTTCTCCACAACTAATTGTTGTTAAGGAGCAACAATACCAGAAGTGGTATTCAGTAGATTCTGACCAGTTCTGGAGAACCAATAGCAGAAATTTTGAGTAGTTCGGAGAACCGGCAAATCCCACCTCTGACTGGCCCCGCCCCCATCTATTCTCTGCCTCCTGAGTCCCAGCTGATCGGCTGGGTCTTCTTTGGTTGTCCTGTACAGGAGAACAGAGCTGGAAAGCAGGTTAGTGAGGTGGTGTTGTGGTTCGCCGGCAGCCGGTGCAGATGGCAGTGGAATCGGACAGTGGGGAAGAAAGGGGACCAGTCAGGGAGTCTGGAGAGGACTTGGACGAGAGTCCTGTATCTGATGCAGGGATGGGGCCAGGACCATCAGGGAGTGGGATGCTACCTTCAGAGCCTTTGGAGTCTGGCAGCAGCGAAGCAGTGCAGAGATGCTAGAAGGCAAGAGCAGCTGAAACAAAGGGGGTGATTCGGGAGTAAGGCTGAGATAATAAGAGATAAAAGTTTGCAGGAAGTTTGCAGACGAAACCTTTGCAGGAAGCCAAGTAGTTCGATCGGTTCCAAGTCATCTTTGAAGCTCTGTATACTTTGGTTCGTTTTTTTTCTTGTACTTTGGTTGGTTTCTTTTATAGTTAATTGGATACTTCTGTTTTTGGCAGCATTCCACAAAACTGAACAGTGTGTGCTTATCTTGGGAGACTGTTTAAGATTAGCTCTGTCTGGGAATGAAAGCTTTGCAATAAAATAGGTTTTGCTTTTAAAACAAGTTTGTGATTAATTACGAGTTACAAAGCCTGGGTCAGAACAAGTGGGGAGGGAATGGGATTTTGCAGTATCCTTCCCCTATCATGCCCACCAAGCCACGCCCACCAAGCCACGCCCACAGAACCAGTAGTAAAAAAAATGAATCCCACCACTGAACAATACTGAGTGAGATCAATGGAGGGAACTGAGTAAAATATCTCCCCCACTACACTTAGTCTCGCCCTACCTTCTGAGTCTGTTAGCCTTTCATAAGGCCCCGAAGACATGGCATTTGACCAAGCAAATCTTGGTGAGGGTGATGTAGTTTTATCCAGGAGGTATTGTTTAATTGGAACATCATGAGTTTGTACTTTAGTGATGTTTTTAATTGTTGTAAACTACCCACAGTCACTGCTATGAGATGGGTGACTCTGGCAATAATTTGTATAAACAAACTTTTAGCCTGATCAGATAAATATGCAGCAAAGAGCTGCATCATAGGTTGTAGGTGATACAACGAAAGGCCAAATATGGGTTTTGGATTGTCCAATTTGTGGCTTAAAGCCACCTTGATGAGGAAATACTTCAGTTAAGGCAGTTAAAGTCAAGAGCAAGAAAATTAATACTCCATGGAAAAAGTGAGGCAGGAGGATTAGTTGCATTGTAATGCATAAGAAAAAAGATAAAGGAGTCCCTGCAGATTTTACTCAGCTAGTCGTTGCCCACTATAAGGGAGCAGTGCTCATCTCCACTTAAAGGCCATTGAGCCAATGCTGTCTGAAGACACTTCTGTGGTCACGTGACCAGCATGACATCACGGAGCACGTTACCTTCCCATCATAGTGGTACCTATTTATCTACTCACATTTGCATGCTTTCGAATTGATAGGAGGAGCTAGGGCGAGCAGGAACTGGAGTGAGGACAGGAGCTGATCCTATCACTTGGTGCTTGGGTCTCGAACCTGGGCTTGAGGCTTTTCAGCCGACAAGTCCAGCATCTTAACCACTGAGCCACCGTACTGCCTTTTCAGTAATGCATGCCAAGAGGAAAATGCTCTGGATTTCATTTCATTTTGTTCGTTTTATCTGCTTTACAGAATGTATTAGCCACAATATACGTCTAAAGTAATGATTGCTTCATGAAATGTCCAGATGAATCCATGCATTAATTTCATAATAAATATTCACTGTTTGGAAATTTGAATTTTACTTACCTTGGAGCCAGTTATTGAATGTGCATTTTTACCTGAAGGTTGTCATTGCTCAATGAGACATGACACCTTAATAAGACAGAACATTCATGATAAGAGCTCCAACAGGTACTGTGCTATGAATTTATTTCATATTTGAGGGTGCCAGTCATAAAAGATGATTAACCAGGCAGGGGAGCGGTTATAGGGATAGATAGAGATAGGTGTGGCTATCTTACAAAGCCCTCTTTCTTATTTTAATAACCCACGTGTGCCATGTGTTTACTCAACCTTTCAAAAACATCACATTTTCTTCTTTCTAGGGTGATGAACCGCTGCGTCTTCAATATTCTTTAGGGAAATATGACGCAAAACAGATGGGCACTAAGTTTATGCTGTACATCGCTAACGTCAACAAAGCTGACTTAGGTGCCTACTCTTTTGTCATTGGTGATAAAGTTCTGTCTGCAAATTTGCATGTAATAGGTAAGTTTGATTTCTTTCATTTACTATGAGGATGATGAAAGGTCATGTCTTCCACTTGTATGAATCATATTATTTACCCTTTCTTTAGAGTCAGGGAGTTGGGAGCTGCATTGAAAGGTTTGGGGTTTGTCATCAAGGACATCACAAATCTACTAGAACTGTGATGGCAAACCTACGGCACGCGTGCCACAGGTTGCACGCAGAGCCATTTATGCTGGCATGTGAGCTGCAGGCAAACTTACCTCACTGCTTATGCGCATGCCTCACAGCTGATTTTTTTTTGGCTGGTTTGAGGCCTTTTTCGGCTTCCCGGAGGCTTGAGGATAGCTTCTGCAGCCTTTGCAGGCTGAAAAATAGGCCTGTTTCGTCACTTCCTGAAATACCAGAAGTGACGAAACGGGCCTATTTTTCGGCCTGCAAAGGCTGCAGAATTTATCCTCAAGCCTCTGGGAGGCCGAAAAAGGCCTCAAACCAACCAAAAAAAACAGCTGTGAGATGCAGTGCAGGTAAGGAGGCGGCGACTGGGGGAATTGCACGTGCATGTGCAGGGGGCGGGGGGCATGCGCATTGCCTTCTGGGTGCTGGCACGTGAGCATGAGTGTGCAAGTGAGCACACCATTTTTGGCACAGGAGCCCAAAAAGGTTAGCCACCATTGTACTAGAAAGTTGATTTTTTTTTTCTTATAAAGAAAACATGTTACACTGAACATCGCAAGCTTCTGAATTTTGACAGTACGGAAACTCTTGAGGAACTCTAGGAGGAGCAAAAAATGTCAGGGTTTTTTGGGGTAGGGGTACATGCAGTTCCCAGGCCAGGCACTTATCCAGTTCTGCTCCAGAAATACAGAAAGTGGTCAACTTACAATAATTCATTTAGTGATCGTTCGAAGTTACGGTGGCACTGAAAAAAGTGACTTATGACCATTTTTCACACTCACAACCATCGCAAGCATCCCCATTCTCATGTGATCAAAATTCGGACACTTAATTCATTTTTATGATGCTTGTAGTGTCTTGGGGTCCTGTGATTGTCTTTTGTGACCTTGTGACAATCAAAGTCGATGGGGAAGCCAGGCTCACTTAACAACCATGCTACTAACTTAGAAACTGCAGTTATTCACTTAACAACTGTGGCAAGGAAGGTTGTAAAATGGGGCAAAATTCACTTAACATCTTTCTTGCTTAGCAACATGCATTTGGGGCTCAACTGTGGTCGTACACCGAGGTCTACCTTTATGTAGAACTGAGATGTGGAAACTGTATTTTTGAAAGTTCTCCATCGACAAAATTCAACATAACTAGCGGCATTCATTCTGAGTGTTATCTTCTTTTGACAGACGAGCCTCTGCAGTTTTTGTCAGATCTAACACCCATGAAAGTAAACGAAAGGCAAACTGCTGTACTTGAGGTCCGCCTTTCCAAAAAGGTCTCCAACTTTGTTTGGAAACTGAATGGAAAAGAGTTGAAGCGGGATGAGAAGTACGAGATCATCACCTCCGAAGATGGCTTGACACACACGCTGAAAATTAAAGATGCCCGCCTGAGTGACATGGGGAAGGTCAGCTTTGAAGGTGGAGGCCTGTTGACAGAAACTGAGCTTTTCATTCAGAGTAAGAGATGCTGGGATTAACTGTTGCCTATTGTCCAAGTTTCAGGCAAGCAGCTGGTGATGCTATTTAGTACTGAATTGAAGGTGAAAATAGGATGCTTTGTTTTCTTTTTCCAATAACTCACTTGTTCCTTTTGTTACCTGTTGTTTGGTACTAAATAGCAGATGAATCTTTGGCTTTACCAACTATTATTATTATTATTATTATTATTATTATTATTATTATTATTATTATTATTATTATTATTATTATTATTATTAT